CTTGGAGATGTTCCGGAGGTGGAGCCTGCATGTGTTTGTGAGAGATTTGATATGAGGTTGAAAGGAAAGGTTTGAGTCCAGAATGACGACAAGGACCTTGGCTTGCTGGGCGGGATTGATGGTGGTGTTGTTGGTAGTGATGGAAAGGATGGGGGGGGGGGGGCGCGGGCTGGGGGGAAGATGAGAAGCTCGGTTTTGGAGAGGTTGAGTTTGAGGAAATGGAGCGACATCCAGTCAGAGATGTCGTTTAGGAGGTGAGTGATGCGGGCGGAGAATGTGGGGGTGAGGTGAGGGGTGGATAGGTAGATTTGAGTATCATCAGCATAGAGGTGGTAATTGAAGCCATGGGAGTGTATGAGTTTGCCAAGGGAGGAGGTGTAGATGGAGAAGAGAAGGGGTCCAAGGACAGAGCCCTGGGGGACCCCAACAGAGAGGGGGAGTGAGGAGGAGGTGGCACCGTTGTAGGAAACGCTGAAGGAGCGTTGGGATAGATAGGACGAGAACCAGGAGAGAGCGGTGTCTCTGATGCCAAGGGAGAGTAGTTTATTAAGGAGGAGGGGTGGTCGACTGTGTCAAAGGCCGCGGAGAGGTCTAGGAGGAGGACAGAGTAGTCGCCTTTGGCTTTGACGGTTAGTTAGATATCCAGTATGATCTTTTTCCCCATTGAGATCTGATGTGTTTTCAAAGTGTTCCTTTAATTTTTTTTTTTTTCAAGCAGTGTATATACAGTATATATGCACTATATTACCAAAAGTAATGGGACACCCCTCCAAATCACTGGATTTAGGTGTTCCAATCATCTGCATAGCCACAAGCACCTAGGCAGGCAGACAGCTTCTACAAACATTTGTGAAAGAATGGGTCGCCACCTGTGCAATAAGTCCATCTGTGAAATTTCCTTGCTATTAAATATTCCACAGTCAACTGTTAGTGATATTATAACACAGTGAAAGAAACTGGGAACAACAGCAACTCAGCCATGAATTGGTAGGCTACTTAAAAATGACAGAGCGTAAAATGACAGAGCTGAAGTGTACAGTGCGCAGAAGTCTCCAACTGTCTGCAGAGTAAATAGCTAAATACCTCCAAACATCGTATGGCCTTCAGATTTGCACAACAACAGTGTGTAGAGAGCTTCATGGAATGGGTTTCCATAACTGAGCAGCTGCATCCAAGCCTTACATCACCAAGTGCAATGCAAAATGGCAGATGCAGTGGTGTAAAGCATGCCGCTACTGGACTTTAGAGCAGTGGAGATGTGTTCTATGGAGTGACGAATCATGCTTCTCTGTCTGGCAAACCGATGGACGTGTCTGGGTTTAGTGGTTGCCAGGAGAACGGTACTTACTTGCCTGACTGCATTGTGCCAAGTGTAAGGTTTGGTGGAGGGGGGTTATGGTGTGGGGTTGCTTTTCAGGGGTTGGGCTTGGCCCCTTAGTTCTGGTGAAGGGAACTCTTAAGGCTTCAGCATACCAAGACATTTTGGACAATTTCATGCTCCCAACTTTGTGTGAAGAGTTTGGGGATGGTTTCTTCTTTTTCCAACATGACTGCACACCAGTGCACAAAGCAAGGTCCATAAAGATATGGATGAGCGAGTTTGGGGTGGAGGAACTTGACTTGCCTGCACAGAGTCCTGGCCTCAACCCGACAGAACACCTTTGGGATGAATTAAAGTGGAGACTGCGAGCCAGGCCTTCTCATGCTATATCAGTACCTGACTTCACAAATGTGCTTCTGGAAGAATGGTCAAACATTCCCATAGACATACTCCTAAGCCTTCCCAGAAGAGCTGAAGCTGTTATAGCTGCGAAGGGTGAGCCAACTCAATATTGAACCCTTCGGACTAAGACTGGGATATCATTAAAGTTCATATGTGTGTAAGCATCCCAATACTTTTGGCAATTTAGTGTACAGTATATTAAGGTGACACTGAACTCTGGTTTAAAAAATATTTTCTATTCAAGTATGTATTCTTAACTCAAAAAGTACCTTCTATTTCCTCAGCCTCATTCAGATCTCCAAATTCCCTTTTTATTTGCTGTTATAATTCAACTTTCTGTTAGAAGGTGGCTACTGTACTATTAATTTTCCATGGTCCCTCTAAGTAGATGCATAGCCACCCTCTGTTATTCACTCATGAAATTTTCTATAGGATGTGTAGTATGCATAGAGCAGTGTGCATGATTGCCATTAATGTGCACTGCTCATTTCAAGCAAAAAGAACAGGGAGCTCGCAGAGGATTTTACAAGGCGGCAGGAAAACACTGAACACTATTTCATGAAAAATAGATTACATGGTCAATAAGTAGTGGATGTGTATGGATTATTTTTGAAAATTAAAGATATTTAGTGTCACTTTAATTTAATATTTTACCACCATGGAGAAAGTTTTTTTTTCTAGTCTCCTTCCACAGAAAATAATGAATATGTATATTGTGGAAGACATACTGTACATGTACATTGATGAAAAGGTAACTTTGTTTCTTGACAATTTAGATGTATTGTATAAAAATAGATTTAGCTGGGTTATTCATATAAAATAGTTTCATAGATGGTAAGGCACAGTAGTGACGTAGCAGTCAAGTATGGGAAAGGCCATAGTGTGCAGCAGAGAATTGCAAGAAGACCCCCCCCCCCCCCCCCCCCACACACACACACACACACACACACAAAGTACATCCAGTCACTACAGGTAACCACTGGCTGTGCAAACAGGCAAGAAAATCTGTGCCCACGAACAGCCTATCATTGCAGTAGGATTCACTGGGATTTTCAACGTAGCAAAATGCCCGTGTGAATGGAACCTAACTCTCTCCTGGAGTGAAGTCCCAGGTCAAGGCTTTGTTTCCACTTTCATCTGGTAGCAATAAAGAATAACCAAATACAAATACTTTACTGAATGAACATGGAATCTTTCCTTAAATATACTGTGAATCTTCAATTCAAGTAATCAGTCAGGTGAAAAGCATCAGCACAAAATTGTGTATTCAAACTGAACAGGAATTTGCTTTTCACATAAATGAATAGTCATACAATGTTTAACTGAAGATTGTTAACTCCTTTTGTAAATCAGTCTTAAAGACTCCTTCCTTGGAAGCTAAGGGGTTGATTTACTAAAGGCTAATAGGCTGCTCACTTTGCAAGAGAATGTTTCCATAGCTCAATTTGTTGAAATTTTTTTTCACCAAGAAATACCCAGTCATGCACAAGGAAAAAAACAGTATTTTTGCTTGAAAGTGATTGGATGATGGAAGCCAACAAAACTGCATCTCATTAACTAAAGGTGGTTATACACCATTTGCATTTTGGCTGGTTTCTGGTGGACTGGCAGAAATTCACATAGTGGGTGACCCTGTTGGTCCCATCCCGCCTGACATCCTTTGATTGAAAAGTTAAAGGAGTCAGGCTGAAAACTGTCAGCCAAACCATGGTTGCATCTAATCAGATGCAGCTGCTGTTTGGGTATCTTTACAGCTTGTGGCATTGGCTGTATGAATACAGTAGCCCAACAGGGGATTCATCCATCCCTGCTGTATGCCATAGACAGCAATCAGTTATATTTTTTTAGTTCAGCCCGCTGGCTTAATTTATGGGAAAATTAAACAGCCTATTTGCCTTTAGTAAATCAACCCTAAAGACTCTCACTTCAAAGCCAACCAGAGCATCTGCCTCATACAAATGAAATGAAAGTATGGTAGCCACAGGGACTCTGGGGACCATGCTACAGGAGAAAGACAATTATTTGAGAGGTATTTATTTGTGTGCTTCTTTTATTTCCTCTTTTTTAGGTCTGCTTTAAAATTATGATGCAAAAGTTTTTAACCTTCCAGTCACAATAATTTGACATTAAACATTTTTGACTCACCTCTTAATTTTAGATTAGTTTTCCTGGTTGGCATACTGTAAGAAAAAGATATTACATGAAAATGTTAGTGGGACACATTTATATAAAACAGAACAAAAAGTCCAGCAGCATTCAACCAATATCCTGAGTGCCAACAAGAGAAAAACAAAGAGGTCTTCAGGTAGACTGAGGGGTCATTGGAAATAATTACAGATTACCAAGAGAAGCTTTGTGTGATATATTGCTTGGTCAGACTTGGTAGGGTATTAATAAATGCCTTTCATACTCCAAAAAGATTTTGTGTCTGTGTTTTCTTAAAAGAGTTGTTTCATTGCAGTTCATTTGAAAGACAAACATCAGTTTATTCAGGAAAAGTTTTAGGGGAGGTGGCTTGGGGTTGTATCTGCTGGTGTGCTAAAATGTTCCCAATGATTATCTCATGTGATAAGGTTGATAAAGAGAAACTCACTAAATCAGTAAATAGATGGGGTATTGGGTGAGATAAGCTATCAGTATGCCCCTAAAACTGGTTACCGATTCATAAGGCTATTTGAATCCCTGACAAATACGAAGCATACATATTGTAATTGTATTCCCCAAGTGGGTACAAAATGGCCATGTTCTGAATTTATGAAAGGCTAAATATGATTATGTGAGGAAATGTTACAGATCCTTCTGCTGTGTGTTTTGCTAACACATCTAACTTTCTGGTTGCATAAGAATAGAAGAAAGAGGTTTATATTAACAAATATTTGGGAGACCTCCATTTGTGTTCGGATTATTAAGTTGGCACTGGTAAAATTTTAGGTGTTCAAGTAGTATTTTAGATCTTTAAAGAGGAGAGAATTCACAGAGGGCCACATGAAGTTTGTGGAAATCCTTTAAGATTAAATAGGCTGACAGAAGGCTTGCAGTGCTTTATGTTAAACTAGACAAGTATGAGGAAGGAAGATGCTTCTTCAGGTATTGAGAGGTTTTTTGGGAAGATTTCAGCGCCCCCAAAGAATTTAAGGTTAACGCTAGAGATGAGCGAAGTATTCAAAAATTCGATTCGGCTGATTCGGCGAATTCGCAGAATAAATTCGATTCGAGTCGAATATATTTGCTGCGAATTTAACTTATAAAAAGGGTGTTTCTAGGCTTCAGAGAGCCTTTATATTAGTGCAGAACACTGTACCTTTAATTTAAATGCCCTTGGAGTCTGCTGGGGAAGAGAAATAATACTGTCAGTCAGTATGACATGCAGATGAGTGCCGTCGATCTTAGAATCACCGCACACTTGACTCATTTGGGCAGTCACGGGGCCAAAACCAGAGAGTGGAGCCACAGTGTGGCGGTGGAGGCAGCAGCAATGGGAGGCCATACAGCACCCTATGACAAAATGGAACCCACCAGCAGTGTGAGGAGACCTGAAAGTGGCACATGGCAGAGTGTGGCGATGGAGACAGCAGCAATGGGAGGCCGTACAGGGACCCATGACACACTCTGGACCTGGCAGCAGCATGAGGAGGCGGTACAGGGGCCCATGACAGATTACGGGCCTGACAGCAGCATGAGGAGTCGGTACGGGGGCCCATGGCAGATTACGGGCCTGGCAGCAGCAATGGGAGGCCGTACAGGGACCCATGACACACTCTGGACCTGGCAGCAGCATGAGGAGGCGGTACAGGGGCCCATGACAGATTACGGGCCTGGCAGCAGCATGAGGAGTCGGTACGGGGGCCCATGGCAGATTACGGGCCTGGCAGCAGCAATGGGAGGCCATACAGCACCCTATGACAAAATGGAACCCACCAGCAGTGTGAGGAGACCTGAAAGTGGCACATGGCAGAGTGTGGCGATGGAGACAGCAGCAATGGGAGGCCGTACAGGGACCCATGACACACTCTAGATTTGGCAGCAGCATGAGGAGGCGGTACAGGGGCCCATGACAGATTACGGGCCTGGCAGCAGCATGAGGAGTCGGTACGGGGGCCCATGGCAGATTACGGGCCTGGCAGCAGCAATGGGAGGCCCGTAATCTGCCAGCACCCTATGACAAAATGGAACCCACCAGCAGTGTGAGGAGACCTGAAAGTGGCACATGGCAGAGTGTGGCGATGGAGACAGCAGCAATGGGAGGCCGTACAGGGACCCATGACACACTCTGGACCTGGCAGCAGCATGAGGAGGCGGTACAGGGGCCCATGACAGATTACGGGCCTGGCAGCAGCAATGGAGGCCCGTAATCTGCCAGCACCCTATGACAAAATGGAACCCACCAGCAGTGTGAGGAGACCTGAAAGTGGCACATGGCAGCAGAGTGTGGCGATGGAGACAGCAGCAATGGGAGGCCGTACAGGGACCCATGACAGACTCTGGACCTGGCAGCAGCATGAGGAGGTGGTACAGGGGCCCATGACAGATTATGGGCCTGGCAGCAGCAATGGGAGGCCGTACAGGGACCCATGACACACTCTGGACCTGGCAGCAGCATGAGGAGGCGGTAAAGGGGCCCATGACAGATTACGGGCCTGGCAGCAGCATGAGGAGATTACGGGGGCCCATGGCAGATTACGGGCCTGGCAGCAGCAATGGGAGGCCCGTAATCTGCCAGCACCCTATGACAAAATGGAACCCACCAGCAGTGTGAGGAGACCTGAAAGTGGCACATGGCAGAGTGTGGCGATGGAGACAGCAGCAATGGGAGGCCGCAGGGACCCATGACACACTCTGGACCTGGCAGCAGCATGAGGAGGCGGTACGGGGGCCCATGACAGATTACGGGCCTGGCAGCAGCAATGGGAGGCCCGTAATCTGCCAGCACCCTATGACAAAATGGAACCCACCAGCAGTGTGAGGAGACCTGAAAGTGGCACATGGCAGAGTGTGGCGATGGAGACAGCAGCAATGGGAGGCCGTACAGGGACCCCTATGACACACTCTGGACCTGGCAGCAGCATGAGGAGGCGGTACAGGGGCCCATGACAGATTATGGGCCTGGCAGCAGCAATGGGAGGCCGTACAGGGACCCATGACACACTCTGGACCTGGCAGCAGCATGAGGAGGCGGTACAGGGGCCCATGACAGATTACGGGCCTGGCAGCAGCATGAGGAGTCGGTACGGGGGCCCATGGCAGATTACGGGCCTGGCAGCAGCAATGGGAGGCCCGTAATCTGCCAGCACCCTATGACAAAATGGAACCCACCAGCAGTGTGAGGAGACCTGAAAGTGGCACATGGCAGAGTGTGGCGATGGAGACAGCAGCAATGGGAGGCCGTACAGGGGGACACATGACCTGGCACACTCTGGAGGGGCCCTGGCAGCAGCATGAGGAGGCGGTACGGGGGCCCATGGCAGATTACGGGCCTGGCAGCAGCAATGGGAGGCCCGTAATCTGCCAGCACCCTATGACAAAATGGAACCACCAGCAGTGTGAGGAGACCTGAAAGTGGCACATGGCAGAGTGTGGCGATGGAGACAGCAGCAATGGGAGGCCGTACAGGGACCCATGACACACTCTGGACCTGGCAGCAGCATGAGGAGGCGGTACAGGGGCCCATGACAGATTACGGGCCTGGCAGCAGCATGAGGAGTCGGTACGGGGGCCCATGGCAGATTACGGGCCTGGCAGCAGCAATGGGAGGCCATACAGCACCCTATGACAAAATGGAACCCACCAGCAGTGTGAGGAGACCTGAAAGTGGACATGGCAGAGTGTGGCGATGGAGACAGCAGCAATGGGAGGCCGTACAGGGACCCATGACACACTCTGGACCTGGCAGCAGCATGAGGAGGCGTACAGGGGCCCATGACAGATTACGGGCCTGGCAGCAGCAGCAGCAATGGCAGGGAGGCCCGTAATCTGCCAGCACCCTATGACAAAATGGAACCCACCAGCAGTGTGAGGAGACCTGAAAGTGGCACATGGCAGAGTGTGGCGATGGAGACAGCAGCAATGGGAGGCCGTACAGGGACCCATGACACACTCTGGACCTGGCAGCAGCAAGAGGAGGCGGTACAGGGGCCCATGGCAGAGATTACGGGCGAAGCGTAAGCAGCTTAAATTGAAGGCCATACAGAGGCCTATGTTAAAAATAATAACATGTTTGGGGCATGATTCATGGCGGATTTAGTCAGTTGTGTCAGGAACTGGTGGTTTGAAATCCAGACTAATCCACGCCTGATTCATTTTCACAAACGTGAGTCTCTCCATGGCACACTTTGGGTGGACAGTCGTGTCCTCCGCGGAGTTTACAATACCTCCTGCCGCACTAAACACGCGCTCCGATGCCACGCTACTGGCCGGGCATGACAGCCTTTCAAGGGCAAATTCAGCTAGTTGGGGCAAAGGTCAAGTTTCGTTGCCCAGTAGTCAAGGGGATTGTCTACCTCGGTTGGCAGGGTGCTGTCCAAGTAGGCCCAAGCCTGTTGTTTGAGGTCCTGCTCCAGGTCCACCTGATGCTGCTGCTGCTGCGGCTGGTTAGTAGTTTCCTCACTGCGCTGGTGAAGAAAGCTACTCATCATCGACTGCAGACTGAGGCAGCCGCTGCTGGTGGAGCTGCCACTGCCTCCTACCACCCCCCCACCCCTCCCCTGCTGCCATGGCAGCGGAACGCGAGCGCACAGGGCCCCACAGTGTCTGAGGATGGACGTTGGCGCAGAAAGGCAGAGACCAACTGACTACATAGGTGGTTTTTATAGTACGATTTTGGCCTCCCTCTCAGCAGGTGTGAAAAAGGCCACCATTTTTGAACGGTAGCGAGGGTCCAACAAGGTGGACAGCCAAAAGTCATCCCTCTGTCTGATGGTTATTATTCGGCTGTCGCTACGCAAGCAACCGAGCATGCTATGGGCCATTTGTGCCAAGGAATGCGAGGGACTCCCTGCCTCCATCTCCACAGCATACTGCCACGGTGCGTCTGGGTCCTCTGTCTCCTCCTCCTCCTCTACCAGATGCTCCTGCTCCTCCACTCCTGTCCGCTGAGTGGAAAAAACCACCCATTTCACTCAATAATTCCTGAGCACCAATGTCCTCCTCTACCTCCTCCTCTTCTTCCTGTCCTGCCCCCACAGGGGTCATGTGGCGTTGAGATCTGTGCGCCACGTCTACCGCACCCTGACCAGCCATTGTTAACAGCATTTGTTCCAGGACGTGCAACAGAGGAATGACGTCGTTCATCCCATAGTCCTGCCGACTCACGAATAGCGTGGCCTCCTCAAAGGGCCTGAGCAAAGCTGAGCAGCGGCAGGTGTCACGCCATGAGCTGCCAATGGCTGACATCTAAGTTACACAGGGGAGTACCTTTAGGAGTACCTTTATCCGCTTGTAACATCAGGAAATCGGTGATGGCCTTTTCGCTGTTCGTAAAGGCGGTCTAACATATGTAGGGTTGAATTCCACCTTGTTGCAACGTCACAGCATGAGGCGATCGGTCGGTACGGGGGGCCCATGGCAGATTACGGGCCTGGCAGCAGCAATGGGAGGCCCGTAATCTGCCAGCACCCTATGACAAAATGGAACCCACCAGCAGTGTGAGGGAGACCTGAAAGTGGCACATGGCAGTGGTGTGGCGATGGAGACAGCAGCAATGGGAGGCCGTACAGGGACCCATGACACTCATGGCGCTCTGGCCTGGCAGCAGCATGAGGAGGCGGTACAGGGGCCCATGACAGATTACGGGCCTGGCAGCAGCATGAGGTCGGAGGACAGCCGGTACGGGGGCCCATGGCATACGGGCCTGGCAGCAGCAATGGGAGGCCCGTAATCTGCCAGCACCCTATGACAAAATGGAACCCACCAGCAGTGTGAGGAGACCTGAAAGTGGCACATGGCAGAGTGTGGCGATGGAGACAGCAGCAATGGGAGGCCGTACAGGGACCCATGACACACTCTGGACCTGGCAGCAGCATGAGGAGGCGGTACAGGGGCCCATGCAGATTACGGGCCTGGCAGCAGCAATGGGAGGCGTGGTGCCGGGGGCCCATGGCAGATTACGGGCCTGGCAGCAGCATGAGGAGTCGGTAAGGGGCCCATGGCAGATAACGGGCGATGGGCAGCAGCAATGGGAGGCCCGTAATCTGCCAGACCCTATGACAAAATGGAACCTGGCACCAGCAGTGTGAGGCACCATGACCTGAAAGTGGCACATGGCAGAGTGTGGCGATCTGGACCTATGACAGCAGCAATGGGAGGCCGTACAGGGACCCATGACATGGCACACAGCTGGACAGGGACCCATGACACAGCAGCTGGCAGCAGCATGAGGAGGCGGTACAGGGGCCCATGACAGATTACGGGCCTGGCAGCAGCATGAGGAGTCGGTACGGGGGCCCATGGCAGATTACGGGCCTGGCAGCAGCAATGGGAGGCCGTAATCTGCCAGCACCCTATGACAAAATGGAACCTCAGCAGTGTGAGGAGACCTGAAAGTGGCACATGGCAGAGTGTGGCGATGGAGAGCAGCAATGGGAGGCCGTACAGGGACCCATGACACACTCTGGACCTGGCAGCAGCAGTGGGAGGCGGTACAGCAGCCCATGGACGGGGCCTGGGCAGCAGCCATGGGAGTCCGTATCTGCCAGCACCCTGGACCTGGCAACAGCAAGAGGAGGTGTGAGGGGACCTGATAAGTGGCCTGGCAGCAGCATGGCGATGGAGACAGAGCAATGGGAGGCGGGGCCCCCATGACAGACTTACGGGCCTGGCAGCAGCATGAGGAGTCGGTACAGGGGCCCATGACAGATTACGGGCCTGGCAGCAGCAATGGGAGGCCCGTAATCTGCCAGCACCCTATGACAAAATGGAACCCACCAGCAGTGTGAGGAGACCTGAAAGTGGCACATGGCAGAGTGTGTGTGGCGATGGAGACAGCAGCAATGGGAGGCCGTACAGGGACCCATGACACACTGGACCTGGCAGCAGCATGAGGAGGCGGTACAGGGGCCCATGACACGATTACGGGCCTGGCAGCAGCATGAGGAGTCGGTACGGGGGCCCATGGCATGATTACGGGCCTGGCAGATGACGACGAGGCTGCCAAGTGCGATCAGCCTCATCATCATCAATTAGGGTCTCCGCCTCACTACTAGCCCCCTCGGCTGCGTGTGGGTCAGGAGACAGACCTGTCTCTAGACCGGCTACCGAGCCACTCTCCTCGCCAGTACTTCTTCGCCTGGCTGCTGAAGAGGGCGGATGTCTCCCCCCGTTCCTGACCGCCCTCTGTTAGCTCTTCCTCACTGTACAGTGGGGCTGAGCCCACAGCATGCGATACTATTCGCTGGTGAGGGAACACCAAAGGACAGGGGCAGGTAGAGGACACGTGATTTCAGTGGGCTTGCTCCGGGGCCATGCCAACTAACGGTTGTGTCTGACGTCTGACCCACCGACCATGTTGGCTGTAGGTGTCAGAGGTGACCTGGGAAGAGGAAGACGACCGAGCCAACCAATCGATGACGGCAGGGTTGTCGGTGGAGACACGACCGCTGGATGACACCGGGAGCACTGGCCTCTGGCTGCGACTAGTGCTGCCTCGACCCCTTCCTCTCTGCTGCCACGTCTGCTCGCTCCTGAAACATTGCCTCCTCTGCCACTCCTCTGCGTGTTGAGACTCTGACATACTCCATGGTAACGATTCTGTGTCCCTGAGTAACAATTCTGTGTCCCCCTGAGTAACAATTCTGTGTCCCTGAGTAACGATTCTGTGTCCCTGAGTAACATTCTGTGTCCCTGAGTAACAGGGGCCCATGATTCTGTGTCCCTCAGTAACAACGATTCTGTGTCCCTGAGTAACAATTCTGTGTCCCTGAGTAACGATTCTGTGTCCCTCAGTAACAACCATTCTGTCCCCTCAGTAACAATTCTTCTGTGTCCCTGAGTAAAAATTCTGTGTCCCTGAGTAACAATTTCTGTGTCCCTGAGTAACAATTCTGTGTCCCTCCAGTAACGATTCTGTGTCCCTGAGTAACAATTCTGTGTCCCTGAGTAAAAGATTCTGTGTCTGTCCCTGAGTAACAATTCTGTGTCCCTGAGTAACAATTCTGTGTCCCTGAGTACAATTCTGTCCCTGTAGTAACAATTCTGTGTGTCCCTGAGTAACAATTCTGTGTCCCTCAGTAACAATTCTGTGTCCCTGAGTAACAATTCTGTGTCCCTGAGTAACAATTCTGTGTCCCTGAGTAACAATTTGTGTCCCTGTCCCTGAGTAACAATTCTGTGTCCCCTGAGTAACAATTCTGTGTCCCTGAGTAACGATTCTGTGTCCCTCAGTAACAATTCTGTGTCCCTGAGTAACAATTCTGTGTCCCTGAGTAACAATCTGTGTCTGTCCCTGAGTAACAATTCTGTGTCCCTGAGTAACAATTCTGATGTCCCTGAGTAACAATTCTGTGTCCCCTCAGTAACGATTCTGTGTCCCTCAGTAACAATTCTGTGTCCCTGAGTAACAATTCTGTGTCCCTGAGTAACGAATTCTGTGTCCCTGAGTAAAATTCTGTGTCTGTGTCCCTGAGTAACAATTTGTGTGTGTCCCTGAGTAACGATTCTGTGTCCCTGAGTAACGATTCTGTGTCCCTCAGTAACAATTCTGTGTCCCTCAGTAACAATTCTGTGTCCCTGAGTAACAATTCTGTGTCCCTGAGTAACAATTCTGTGTCTGTGAGTAACAATTCTGTGTCCCTGAGTAACGATTCTGTGTCCCTGAGTAACAATTCTGTGTCCTGAGTAACAATTCTGTGTCTGTGTCCCTGAGTAACAATTCTGTGTAACAATTCTGTGTCCCTGAGTAACGATTCTGTGTCCCTGAGTAACAATTCTGTGTCCCTGAGTAACAATTCTGTGTCCCTGAGTAACAATTCTGTGTCCCTGAGTAACAATTCTGTGTCTGTCCTGAGTAACAATTCTGGTCCCTGAGTAACAATTCTGTGTCCCTGAGTAACAATTCTGTGTCCCTCAGTAACAATTCTGTGTCCCTGAGTAACAATTCTGTGTGTCCCTGAGTAACAATTCTGTGTCCCTGAGTAACAATTCTGTGTCCCTGAGTAACAATTCTGTGTCCCTGAGTAACAATTCTGTGTCCCTCAGTAACAATTCTGTGTCCCTGAGTAACATTCTGTGTCCCTGAGTAACAATTCTGTGTCCCTGAGTAACAATTCTGTGTCCCTCAGTAACAATTCTGTGTCCCTGAGTAACAATTCTGTGTCCCTGAGTAACAATTCTGTGTGTCCCTGAGTAACAATTCTGTGTCCCTGAGTAACAATTCTGTGTCCCTGAGTAACAATTCTGTGTCCCTGAGTAAAATTCTGTGTCCCTGAGTAACAATTCTGTGTCCCTGAGTAACAATTCTGTGTCCCTGAGTAACAAGTAACAATTCTGTGTGTCCCCTGAGTACAATTCTGTGTCCCTGAGTAACAATTCTGTGTCCCTGAGTAACGATTCTGTGTCCCTGAGTAACAATTCTGTGTCCCTGAGTAACAATTCTGTGTCCCTGAGTAACAATTCTGTGTGTCCCTGAGTAACAATTCTGTGTCCCTGAGTAACAATTCTGTGTCCCTGAGTAACAATTCTGTGTCCCTGAGTAACGATTCTGTGTCCCTCTGAGTAACAATTCTGTGTCCCTGAGTAACAATTCTGTGTCCCTGAGTAACAATTCTGTGTGTCCCTGAGTAACAATTCTGTGTCCCTGAGTAACAATTCTGTGTCCCTGAGTAACAATTCTGTGTCCCTGAGTAACAATTCTGTGTCCCTGAGTAACAATTCTGTGTCCCTGAGTAACAATTCTGTGTCCCTGAGTAACAATTCTGTGTCCCTGAGTAACAATTCTGTGTCCCTGAGTAACAATTCTGTGTGAGTAACAATTCTGTGTCTGTGTCCCTGAGTAACAATTCTGTGTCCCTGAGTAAACAATTCTGTGTCCCTGAGTAACAATTCTGTGTCCCTGAGTAACAATTCTGTGTCCCTGAGTAACAATTCTGTGTGTCCCTGAGTAACAATTCTGTGTCCCTGAGTAACAATTCTGTGTCCTCTGAGTAACAATTCTGTGTCTGTCCCTGAGTAACAATTCTGTGTCCCTGAGTAACAATTCTGTGTCCCTGAGTAACAATTCTGTGTCCCCTGAGTAACAATTCTGTGTCCCCCTGAGTAACAATTCTGTGTCCCTCAGTAACAATTCTGTGTCCCTCAGTAACAATTCTGTGTCCCTGAGTAACAATTCTGTGTCCCTGAGTAACAATTCTGTCTGTGTCCCTGAGTAACAATTCTGTGTCCCCTGAGTAACAATTCTGTGTCCCTGAGTAACAATTCTGTGTCCCTGAGTAACAATTCTGTGTCCCTGAGTAACGATTCTGTGTCCCTGAGTAACAATTCTGTGTGTCCCTGAGTAACAATTCTGTGTCCCTGAGTAACAATTCTGTGTCCCTGAGTAACAATTCTGTGTCCCTGAGTAACAATTCTGTGTCCCTGAGTAACAATTCTGTGTGTCCCTGAGTAACAATTCTGTGTCCCTGAGTAACAATTCTGTGTCCCTGAGTAACAATTCTGTGTCCCTGAGTAACAATTCTGTGTGTCCCTGAGTAACAATTCTGTGTCCCTGAGTAACATTCTGTGTCCCTGAGTAACAATTCTGTGTCCCTGAGTAACAATTCTGTGTCCCTGAGTAACAATTCTGTGTCCCTGAGTAACAATTCTGTGTCTGTGTCCCTGAGTAACAATTCTGTGTCCCTGAGTAAACAATTCTGTGTCCCTGAGTAACAATTCTGTGTCCCTGAGTAACGATTCTGTGTCCCTCAGTAACAATTCTGTGTCCCTGAGTAACAATTCTGTGTCCCTGAGTAACAATTCTGTGTCCCTGAGTAACAATTCTGTGTCCCTGAGTAACAATTCTGTGTCCCTGAGTAACAATCTGTGTCTGTTCTGTCCCTGAGTAACAATTCTGTGTCCCTGTAACAATTCTGTGTCCCTGAGTAACAATTCTGTGTCCCTGAGTAACAATTCTGTGTGTCCCTGAGTAACAATTCTGTGTCCCTGAGTAACAATTCTGTGTCCCCTGAGTAACAATTCTGTGTCCTGTCCCTGAGTAACAATTCTGTTCTGTGTCCCTGAGTAACAATTCTGTGTCCCTGAGTAACAATTCTGTGTCCCCTGAGTAACAATTCTGTGTCCCTGAGTAACAATTCTGTGTCCCTGAGTAACAAATTCTGTGTCCCTGAGTAACAATTCTGTGTCCCTGAGTAACAATTCTGTGTCCCTGAGTAACAATTCTGTGTCTGTCCCTGAGTAACAATTCTGTGTCCCTGAGTAACAATTCTGTGTCCCTGAGTAACAATTCTGTGTCCCTGAGTAACAATTCTGTGTCCCTGAGTAACAATTCTGTGTCCCTGAGTAACAATTCTGTGTCCCTGAGTAACAATTCTGTGTCCCTGAGTAACAATTCTGTGTCCCTGAGTAACTTCTGTCCCCTGAGTAACAATTTCTGTGTCCCTGAGTAACAATTCTGTGTGTGTCCCTGAGTAACAATTCTGTGTCCCTGAGTAACAATTCTGTGTCCCTGAGTAACAATTCTGTGTCTCCCTGAGTAACAATTCTGTGTCCCTGAGTAACAATTCTGTGTCCCTGAGTAACAATTTCTGTGTCCCTGAGTAACAACAATTCTGTGTCCCTGAGTAACAATTCTGTGTCCCTGAGTAACAATTCTGTGTCCCTGAGTAACAATTCTGTGTCCCTCCCTGAGTAACAATTCTGTGTCCCTGAGTAACAATTCTGTGTCCCTGAGTAACAATTCTGTGTCCCTGAGTAACAATTCTGTGTCCCTGAGTAACAATTCTGTGTCCCTGAGTAACAATTCTGTGTCCCTGTAACAATTCTGTGTCCCTCAGTAACAATTCTGGTCCCTGAGTAACAATTCTGTGTCCCTGAGTAACAATTCTGTGTCCCT